TTTGGTTTTCTGTTCCTGTGTTAGTTTGCTGAGGATGATGGTTTCCAGCTTCATCCATGTGCTGCAAAGGACATAAACTCATTGTTTTTTATAACTACATAGTATTCCATGGTTTATGTGCAACATTTTCTTTATCCAGACTATCATTGATGGGCATTTGGGTTGGTTCCAAGTCTTTGCTGTTGTAAATGGTGCTGAAATAAACATACATGAGCATGTGTCTTTATAGTAGAATGATTTATAATCCTTTGAGTATACACCCAGTAATGGGATTACTGGGTCAGATGGTATTTCTGATTCTAAATCCTTGAGGAATCACCACACTGTCTTCCACAATGGTTGAATTAATTTACATTCCCACCAACAGTGCAAAAGTGTTCCTATTTCTCCACATCCTTGCCAGCATCTGTTGTTTCCAGCCTTTTTAATGATCACCATTCTAACTGGCATGAGATAGTATCTCATCGTGGTTTTGATTTGCATTTCTCTAACGATCAGTGATGATGAGCTGGAGTGTTTTAGTTAACCTTTTTCTTTCAGCATCTTGAATATGTCTTTACACAGCCTCTGGCCTCCCTGGTTTCTGATGAAGTGTCAGCTCTTAATCTTTTTGAGGATCTCTTGTATGTGATGAGTAATTTACCTCTTGGTGATTTTAGGATTATTTTTTGTCTTTGGCTTTTGACCATTTGACTATGTGTGAATCTCTTTGACTTTATTCTACATGAAATTTATTGAGCTTCTTGAATGTGTAAAGTTTTTCATCAAATTTAGGACATTTTAGGCCATTATTTCTCCAAATATTCTTTTTGCATTTTTCTCTCTCTTCTCTCTTTCTGAGACTTCCGTTACGCATATCTTAGTATGCTTCATGATGTCCCATTGGTCTCTGAGGCTCTGCTCATTTTTTCCTTTTTTTCTGTTTCTCAGACTGGGTAATCTCAATTGACTTGTCTTCAAGTTTGCTAGTCCTTTTTTCTGCCAGTTCAAACCTGCTGTTGAGATTATCTAGTAAAATTTTCACTTCAGTTATCATACTTTTCAACTCCATAGTTACTATTTTGTTCATATATGTATACATATATATATATAATACACATAATATTTATCTCTTCAATGATAGTCTTTATTTAGTGAGACATTGTTCTTATACTTTAATTTAATTCTTTGGATGTCCTTTATTTTAGTTCTAAAAACATTTGTTGTAGTTAATCTAAAGTCTTTTTTCTAGTAAGCCCAACATCTCAACTTCCTCTTAAGAAACTTGGTGTAGTTTCTTACGACTACTTTTTTTCCTTTATATATGAGCCATATATTCCTGTTTCTTTGCATGTTTAATAATTTTTTGTTGGAAACTAAACATTTTAAATAATATACTGTGGCAACTCTGGAAATCAGATTTACCCCCTCCTCTGGATTTGTTGTTATTGCTGTTTATTTAGTGACTTCTCTGATCTAATTCTGTAAAGTCTGTATTCCTTTTCATATGCAGTCATCGAGGTCTCTGTTCAGTTACCTTAGTGATTATCTAATGATTGAACAGAGATTTCCTTAAATAACTTCAACCAATACCGATAAGCCTCCCATCCTTTACTAAGGGGGGCTCCATGTGTGGTTAGGACATACCTTCAGGGCTCTGAAAATTAATGACTCTGCCCAAGCCTTCATCTCCTGCTTGTGCAGAGTTCCAGGGTCAGAGGTAGGGCATTCTCAGGTCTTTCTTGAGCATGTGCCCAGCCCTACACATATGTGGCCTTCTAGATTCACAGGAACATTTCAGAGTACTTCAAAGTTCCCCTTCAATATCTCATTCACCAGATTTAAGTTTTTTGGCCAGCGTCTTGTTCACCCCAGTAGGTATCCCCAACTCAAGTAACTGTGTGATATTAAACAATTGCCTGTGATTGTTTTGAACAAATGATCTGCAGAGTGTCTCACTGAACAAGCTTCTAGTTAGGTCAAATGAAGGCAAGGCCTGTGATGGGGTTTTTCCAGGGAGCTGCCAGACAGGTCAAATAGCTACAATTCTCTTGAAATAAAACTTTTGTTTGAGACTCTAAACTTGTTCTTCCCCATCCCATGATTGTTAGGCTACTGGTTTTCACAGCCGTTGTGATTGTAAGGCTGCTGGTTTTCTAGGTTAACACAGGGCTAGGGACGGAGGCATGAGAATAAGACAAGTTGAAATGCCACAAAGCTCACTGCAGTTGCTGAAACCAAGCCATTTTTCTTGAATAAACACTCTTTTGATTGTTGTGAAATTTGATTAATTTCCAGAATTCTAAAAATGTTGATTCTGACAGTATTTCCCGTGTTCTCATTGCTTTCGTGCAGGAGTAGATTGTTGGAGATTCTTCCTCTGCCATTCTGGAAGTGCTTCCCTTCCATGCAGGATTTTAACTGAGGCCCAAAATGATCAGGTCTTCATTTTGTTAGGATTGGTCCAGTCACAGCATTGAGAACAGAGTAGAGGGATGAGGCAAGAGGCAAGAGGATAATTAAGAGAACCATGCTGGGGAGAAGTGGTGGTCACCAGGGCTTCAGAAAAGTGGATTGTCCAGGAGACTCATCTAAGGCACTTTTGAAAACTAAATTCTTTCCCCCAACCACTTAAGCACTTCAACCAGTCACTGAAACAGGGCCCACGCTCCATCAGACAAGCTGTTCCAGAGGGAAAGAGCCCAGACACAATGCAGGGAAGAGCAGAGGTTGCCTGCTTATCTTAGGGAAGCCAAAGATGACTTTATGAGAGAAGAGATTCAGGACCCCAATGGCGGGTGAAGTAAGCTAAGGGAGGGACAACGAGGGCTGACACAAGGGGATGAGGGCCTGCATGTTCCCTGACCTCTGCCTCAGGGACAGCTTGGGGGAGTGACCAGAGCTTTGCCTTTTGGGATTCTCCAAAAGCACAGATTCCACTCTGCTTCAGCCTCGTTCACCCCCTCCAGAGGCTGCCCTGTGTGCACTGTATGTCTGCTAGAGCCCAGAAGCAGAACCGGGTGCGGGGTGAAGTGGGCTGCTTTCTTCTTAATTCCTCTCTCTCCCAAGCAATTCTCCAAACAAGCTTTTGTATGTCCCAGATGTTCCCGCCTTTGTTCAGATTTAATCCTCCCTATTTATTCCCCCTTCTGGTACCTGTTTATTATGTTCTATTTCTCTTTGGAAGCTGGGTCTCAGCGGATCTGCCACATCTGATATTATCTGCACTTGGGCAAACACAATCGTGCCCATGCCTTGTCAACCAGCTCTCGTCTGAAAGGGCTGGAGAAAGAGAAGAATTAAAATCAGCACTGCCAAGAACAGCAAGCCCAAAAAGATTTAAAAATAAACAGGAAAGCTGCTTTGGGCCCCGTTCCGAGGCACTTGCAAAGCCCTTCAGTGGAGACACAATGGTGCTGGGTGGACCCATTCTCACTGCCTTATCCTCTGCAGCTGGAAAACGTGTGGCTGTGGCTCTTGACTCCTCCTTGAAGAGGGAACCATGTCTCCTACCAGAGCTGTGAGGACAGTGACTCAGAGCTTCTTCTGCTCAGACTCGATATCTAGGAACATTACAGCTGCTCGAAACCAAAGCCTTGGGTCCCTGGCAGAGTTCCTGAGGCCAGCATGGAGAGTATCCAGTCATGGTGAGACCAGGTATAGGAAAGGTTAGGATGCAGCCTCCTGCCTCCCCTCTCCATCTCTTCTTCCCACTGCGCACTGCATACACAGGGGCTGCCAAACGGGAATGGAGAATCACAGCACTAGCAGAGAAAAAAGAAAGAAACTAAAGAAAAAGAGATTTCATTCCTTATTGCTGTTACCAGACAGATCTGTGGAGATGAACTAACCTGACAATATTGTCTCTAATCTGGAACTCTGAGGCCTCCCCTGGACCTGGAGCCATTACAACCTGCCAGCCACACCTTTGGGTAAAAGACAAACAGGAGTTGAAGACAGACAAGGTCTGATTTTTCACTAGATTCTCAGTCCAAGCTGTCCCAATAAACCACAGGCAGGGCAAAAGCCTTGGAGACAAGTCGTAGATGGCACCGCATGTGGGGGAGGTGTAAGGACCTTGTCTAATCAAGACTCCTTTTCCCACCCCACATATCCTCGCCTTGACCTGGGACAGAAGTGAAATGGGATTTCAAACGGATTTAGGGCCACCTCCATGCCAGAAAGTATGGTCGTTCTGTAACCCACTGTACACAAGTTCTCTTAAGCTTCACATCAACTCTCCAAGGCAGGTTTCAATATCTCTACTGTGGAGATGAGTTAACCAAGACTTCGAGAGGTTGCACAAGTTGCCTGAGATCGCACAGTTGAGAACTGGCAGTTCCAAATTTGAGTCCTGGTCTGTTGAATAAATATGTCGGGCCCATTTGAGCCCTGGTCTGTTGGGTCCAAGCTAAAAGATGCCCAGGAATGTTCAGGGCACCAGGGCTCCCACGAGGCAGTCCCCTCAGGATTGCCCATCCCACAGGGGTGTGGGATGTAGATACATGGGCGCTGCTGCACTCTGCATGCCTTCCTGTGGGCACCACAAATGGCTTGTTTTATAGCTGTGGCTGCGGCAGCAGCTGCAGGCGCTTTTGCCTTGCAGGATTGACATCAATCCTCATTCAAATCAAACTCCTTCTCAAACATGCTCCAGTGGAGTGGAATTTTCTGCTAAATAAGGTGTTATTAACCCAGCTCGCAGCTCCTTGGGCCTGGGCTGAGCTCAGCAGTGGCGGCAGCCGCTCCGCGCTGATGAACCCACTTAAACACCGATTAATAGGCACTGCGACACTGGCCCTGGCAGACCCTGTGACCCCCTGGGCTCCTCCTGGCTCCTCAGGCTGCAGCGCCTGGAACTCAGTCACATCTCTGACTTTCATTCCAGCCCAGTTGCTGAGTAGTGATTGGATGCTTTGTGGTCTGAGGATGAGGAGATAGAAGTGAGAGATAAAAAAGGGTGTTTTTTTTTTTGTTTTTTGTTTTTGTTTTTTTTTTTCTTTCTGCAGCTTCTTTCTTACCAGGCTTCAGTTTCCAGAGCTTCTCAGGATGGGAAAGACAAAGTACAGGCCCCATAAGAGAGGAAGAGGTGTAGCTCTGCCCTCCTCCAGCGCTCCCAGCACACATGGATAATGGGGAGGTTCTGCAACAATACAGGAAACATGAGAAGTCGTCCGGACTTTAGGGCAGGACTGGATCTCAACAAAATGCCATTCTAGTTCTAGTGCAGCTCAAAACAGGATTTGACACCCCAAATCCAGTCATTGTAACTACATACAAGTTCAGTTTATATAATTCTCAGAGTCTCAGCTCTTACAGCTGAAAGAGCCCCAGAGAGTCCCTGGTCCAAGTTCATCTTACAGCTGAGAAAACTCAGGACCAGAGAGGGAAAAGGTCATGCTCAAGGTCACACAGCTGGTAAGCAGCAAAGCCAAGGCTCATACCCAGATTTCACAACTGCCCATGCAATGCTCTTTCTGTTATCCTGTTTCTCTTCCTTCCAACAACACAAAGGCATCACTGATAGTCATAAAGTAATAACCACATTTACATGATTTCCCAGTCTACATACTGCAATGGATATCAAATTGTTCTTAAGTGATATGTTATTAAATAAGATCAGAGAATACAAAAATGGATTTCTGAAGGATGATAAATAAAAGTACACCACATTTATTCATCTGTCTTTTAGACACCGGTTTACTGGGCGGGCATCTGATATGCCTCAGGCTGGGTGTGGGCTCTAGAGGGATGAATGCACAGGAGGTGGTCTCTAGCCTCACCAAGCTTATAGTTCAGGGGTGAGGGGAACGGAAGAACAAGCTCACATGCACACACACCACACGTGCACAGACACACACAATTGCAAATGGTGCTGAGCAGATCAGTGCTATGAAGAAATGGGTGAGGGGTCCAGCAGAAAAACCACAGGCCCGATTGATGTTTGTGCGGTCACAGAAGGCTTCTCTGAGGAGGTGATATAAAAACTGAGACCTGAAGGATGGGAAAAGGCCGACTACACAAGAAAGTGAAGAGAGGGGATTCAAGTAGAAGGAATCAAATTTGGATTTCTTTTCATAAACAACAAAGTGAAAATATTTTAGAATTAATAGAAGTCTATTATTTTAGAGACAGGAAAGCTATTTCATTTTCTCCCCTAATTGCTCTGCTTCTTGAAGATGGTACTTATTGATCAGCCTTTTTGTGTCGTTTGTCTATTTTTGTGCTGTTTCCTCAATTTGTGGCTGAGAAGGGCCCTTTCAGAGGTTTGAGAAGACTTCATTTATCTTCCCAACCCCAAAATGATGGTGAGTGGAGTTGTTACACACACAGGCTCCGTCTCTTAACCATGGGAGCTTGGGGAAGGCATTTCTTCTGTGAGCCTCAGTTTCTTTATCTGTATAATTGAGAATAACAAAAGCACACTATCAGAGAGCTGTGGTGTGGCTTAACTGAAATCACGTCTGTGAAGAACTTAGCACAGTGGAATTGGAACGTTGGAATTGTTCAATAAATGTTAGCCATTTGTTATGACTGTAAGCTACATGTATTCAGATTAAACTACCTTGTTTTATAAAAGTGTTGATGACATTTTCTTGCAACTTTCTTTCCTTGCACATTGTAGCAAGAGCAGATCAGATCCCTTTGCGATTGTGACCAGGAGCCTGTGCTGAGAACTAGATGAGTCCTGGTAGGTGGAGCAGGCTTAGGTAGGGTATGGGGAGGGTCTAAGACCTGGAGCCAGAGATAAGATCTTTTAAACTGGGGCCAGTATCCCTCAGGGCAGAATCCCAGGGAAGATGTCAGCCTTGGGAGAGATTACAGAATAAAGCAGAAGGAAGAACTCCAGAGAGGGAGGCCAGAGACAGGCTGGCAGAAGCCATAGTTGCTGAGTTGGGCTTCTCAGGACTCTAGCACAAGTAAGTAGAGACCAGAAGATTCTAGCCATCAGTGGGAAATCTAAACAGGGCCTTATTCTGGACCAGGGTGTGTGCCAAGGGGCCTGGGAGGCTGGGGACTGGCTGGCAGGGGGGCCCTCAGAGGGTAGTATCTCTACGCATCAAAGAATTTCATCAGAACTTTTCCTGGTCTACCCACCGGGAAGGCTTTTCCATCTGTATCTGAAGAAACAATCATGTCTGACAAGCAGACTTGGGAGTCACCCAGAAGATCCCCAAAGACATTCACTTGGTCAGACGTGTTTTGATCTTCTCTCCCCACTGAATGATGCTTGGATTTTATCTTCTCTCTCCCTGTGGCTCCCCAGTTTGGTCCATAGCATCTCTCAGGACATGCCTGGGACCCACCCTAACTTCCTTCCAATATCTTGCCTCTTGGACCACGGACCAGTCTCTAGGACTGCCAAAAGCATTGGCAGTTACCATCCCTCCTTCTCTGGCAGTACCCACATCCAGGCTGAAATGCTCCAAGTCCAACTCACTTGAGCTGCTCTCTCAAAGCCAAATGCAAGAAAGGCTTTTTTCATTAGCTAGCTGGCTTGATTAGCATTTATTAGGGTTCCCCCCAAACTCTTTTGGCCTCCCCCTCCATATACCTACTAACCCCTGAGGCATCTCCACCAGGCTCTGGAGTTCCTTGGAACACCATTTGAGAATTGTTGCTTTGATCTAATGTCGTCACTCTACCCTTAGGGAAACTAAATCCTACAGTTAGAGTCTCAACCTTAGCACAGCCTAGACCCCATGTTCAAACCTGGCTCAAGGTTCACGCATGATAAGAGCAGAGGACCAACTAGGGAGGCTTCCATTTTCATGCAGAGCCCCCCACCTTCTTTCTGCCTCTGCCTCCACAAATCCCCAAGCTAGATTTCCTCATGGCCCTGCCTGTAGACCAGCTAGCAGACAGATCAATTCTGCAGTGAGATTCTAGACTCAGCCCTAGCATATCAGCTGGGAGACTTATCAATGAGTCACCACACTGGTTGATCCTCACTTCCCCCCAAACCAACTTTGTTTCCTTTTCTAATCTGCTCCATGACCCAGGAATTTGACCTCACTGCTGGATTCAGCCAATGGGTGTCACCAGCAGGGCAGAAGGAGAGGTTGGGTCATTTCTTCTCCATCCCCTTCTTGCTTTGGCACCATGTTTCTGGCAGTAGATATATCCCTCTGTGGCTAACAGCTCTCCCCAGACCTCCTGCCTGGCTCCAACTCACACTGGGCCCTTTTTCTCTTTAATCCTTAGAGGAGCAGCAGCTCTCTACTGCTGTGACTCTCTGGGTGACCATTTGTTGATTCCCGTTATTCTGCCTATACCTCTATAAGCAGTCCCTCCATTTACCTTTCTTCATTTGAATCATCTGGTGGGTATTCTGTTTCTTGCCAGGCATTGAATGATACAATCACTTTCCTCAGACTCAAGATTCAATGTCCCAGCCATGGTGGTTTACCTTAAGCTGTCTGTCTAAGCCTCATGCTGCACTCCCAGAGATAAGATTCTCTACAGGACCTTGGACCTGCATATGTTTGACATATAGGCTCCCCTGCCCTGTCTCTCGTAGCCCTGTCACTTCCCAGCCCTGGCCTTGTCCTGATGAGAGGCTTCACCTGGTCTTCAGCCTGTACTCTGGCCTCTCCTCATGTTGTCAAGGCCAGAGCCAGCCTCATGTCCTTGTGACCTGGCCTCCACGCTGGCCTTGGCTCAGACATACTCCCTCTTGGGTACTTTCCATACCCTTTGATAGCCCTGCCCATGGGCTCTTCAACCAGTACCCCAGGGCACGTCCAAGAAGGTATTCCCTCTGGCTATCTTGGCTTTCTGCCCTTCCCAAGGATTCTGGGCCACGCTCAGTGACCAGAGGTGCATCTGCCTGAGGTCTTTCTTATCTCTTCAGCACACTCCGGGGCAGGGCTCTGGCTAGGCTTCCCTCAGCCTGTGTCACTCCCTGACTCACTCAACAGAGAGTCTTTGAGCATCTCTTGTGTACCAGGCCCAGCCTTAGGAGGCACACAGGGTTCCTAAGTCCATCAGACCAGGAGGCCCCCTGGCCTCAGAAAGCTCACAGTCTAGAGGGGAAAGGTCTAAAGGCACATTATTACCTTGGAGAATGACAAGCACCCTAAGGTCCAATGGGAGCAGGCTGGGGAGTGCTAAATCTCGTCTGGAAAGTTTAGAGAAAGCTTCCTTGGGGAGGTGATGTCTCTGCTGAGGCTCAAAGATCCAGCGAATAACAGTGGCCTGGACTAGAGTGGGCACAGTGGTAGGTGGCAGATGAAATGCTCCAGAAGTGGCTAACAAGAGGATACTGGTGACATATCAGCCCTTGAGGGCAGGGTAGGTGAGCTGATCAAGGTGGCTACCAGGTCATTTAGGTGGGTGGATGGGAGAGGTGCCAGCCTCTGAGAACGGGAACACGGAAGGAGGAGTGGATGTGGGGAGCAGCCAGGGGTGGGGGCAGCAATGGTGAACTCAGTTCTGAAGTGCCTTGGGAATGTTCGCCTGGGGATACCCAGTACCTGGAGGGACCTGGGACCCAGAGAGAGAGCTGGGAGTCAAATCCTCCAAGTGAAAGCCAATGGAGAGAATAAGATGTGGTGCTGAGAGAGGAAGAAAGGCTGAGCACAGAGCTGATGGACACCAACATTTAAGAAAGAAGGTTTTGGAAAGAATGAGAAGGGGTGGTAAGAGAAGTGGGAGGGAAACCAGGAGAGGTTGCTGTACGGAAACCAAGGGAAGAAAGGTCTCAGGAGGGGGCAGTCAGCATGGGAGGGTGAACGGCACAGAGGGCTCGTGCAATATGGAATCACAATGGGCTCTGCAGGCCGGATTTGGATCCTGGCTCCTCCACTTGCCACGTCGATAATCTTGGACGGCAGTTCAAGTGGGAGCCTCAATTCCCACTACGTAAAAGCAAACAACGGTGGTGCCTTTTAGGGTGGTTCCATTCACGTGACCATGTTGTGACGCACCTAGCACAGTGCGTGCCACACTTGACATGTTCAACAGATAGTAGCTACGCCTCTGAGAATTAATTCACTCAGAGAACACTCATGTGCACGCATGAAATGATCTCTCCTACAGAAGATGCTGAAACATGATTAGGTCTAGTCTCGAAGAGAAAATTACATCAATCACTGAATCCATGGGAACAAGTGCCAAGTGGCATAAAAAGGAGCCAGAGAG